TTATTATTATTATTATTATTATTATTATTATTATTATTATTATAACAATCATAACCCTTATTATCATCAACATATTTATTTATATTTTTACTAATTATTATTATTATTATTATTATTATTATTATTATTATTATTATAACTGTTACTATTGTTTATTGGTAATGGTCTTAAATGATAGCACTGTCATTAAGATAGTTTTCTACTATATGCTGTATGTTGCTTCTTGATTTCTTATGGATATTTTAATGGTAACAAATAAAAAATAAAAAATAAACATAAGGAAGGAGTAGGTGTGTCGTCATTGCAACACTGAGCAACAAATCAAAATATAAAAAAAAAGAAGAGAAAAGACAATGGATGCCGTTCTGCGTAAGGTGCAAGAGAAAATTCAGCAAAACTTCCGTCGTACTGGCGGCGGATCGCGTTTTTTTAGTACAGCCAAACGTGGCGAGGGAGTGGAGTTGCACGATGATCTCAATAGCAATGATAGAGAGAGGCAGAAGAATGCAGTTAAGCGTATCATAGCTGGTATGACGTTAGGACGAGATGTTAGTTATCTCTTTATGGATGTGGTCAAGCTCGGCCAGACACCAAACCTCGAACTCAAGAAATTGGTGTACCTTTATGTTCTTAATACGGCAAAACTGCAACCCGATAAGGCCCTCATGGCGGTCAATACATTCCTGCAAGACACAACGAACAGTTCCCCGATTGTTCGTGCTCTTGCGGTGCGCACAATGCTCTGCATACGCGTGGATTCCGTCACGGAGTACACGCTGGAGCCTCTACGCCGAGCTGCCGCAGACCCCGATCCCTATGTACGTAAGACTGCTGCTATTGGTATGGGAAAGCTGTTTCATCAAAATATGCAATTATTCGCAGATCAAGGATTCTCCGTAGAATTGCTAAAACTACTGAATGATACCTTCGCTATTGTATCTGCTAACGCGGCTGCAGTTCTCGTTGAGGTAAATGATTACAGTACAACTCCCTATTTGCCCACTAAAGAGTGTATCCATCGCCTACTGCACCACCTCCCAGACTGTACAGAGTGGGGACAACTAAGTATATTGGAACTCGTGGCAGACGCACGGCCTAAAGATGCCACAGAGGCGGAGAATATCGTCTCAAGAGTATTACCGCGGCTAAGCCACACAAACTCCTCTGTCGTTATGGGAGCTATTAAAGTTATTGCAAATCTTGCCGGTCGATGTGGTGCAGAGGCAGTGAACCAATATGGTGCACGGGTGAATTCGGCATTGGTAACCCTTTCTAAAGGAGACCCAGAGTCTCAGTATGTTGTTTGCAAAAACATTCATGCCATGTTGGTGATATTTCCTAATTTGCTTCGCAGCACTCTTGACTCTTTTTATGTGCGTTTTACAGATCCTCCATACGTAAAACTTGAAAAATTACGACTTCTTCTTAAACTTGTAACGCCTTCTACAGCGTATCAAATTGTAAAAGAGTTGGAAGAATACAGTTCTGAAGTAGATCTTGTCTTTGCGGAAGAAGTTGTAAGAGGTATAGCAACGCTTGCATTGAAAATTGATTCAGTCGCCTCTAATTGTGTTGAATTGTTATTGCGTATTGTTACAAAACGTCCGGAACTTTTACCTCAGGTAATTACGAGTTGCAAGAATATTGTTCGAAAATACCCAGAACTACTAGTGTTACAAACCCTTATTGATGACCATGGAGCTGATGCAGTACATGAAGAAGAAGCAAAGGTTTCTCTTATTTGGATGCTTGGTGAATTTTGTGATTTTGTTGAAAATGGAAAAAATATTCTTCAACAGTTTATTGATGACCTAACATCACATGAACAGTCAGTTCAACTAGCAATTCTAAGTGCTGTTATTAAGATGTTTTTACGTGATCCTGAAGGGATGGAGCAAACGCTCAACGTTGTACTTGATACTTTAACAACAAAAAGCAGTGACCCAGATCTTCGAGATCGTGCTTATGCCTATTGGCGGTTGCTCTCAAAAGGTGTTGGGGTTGCCAAAATGAAACAAATCGTACACGGTCATCAGGTACCTATTACAGTGGAGTCAAGTTTCAGTGATGCTATGACGATGTCAGATCTTAAAAAATCTATCAACACAGCGGCTGTAGTCTTTGGGAAACCATTTCACTCTTTCCTCCCACCCTACGGTCTTGTGAATGAGGACGCAAGTGAAGAAGACGAGGATGCAGAAGAAAACAGTGTGGTGTCCCAGACGGTTGCTGATGCTGCAGCTACTACTACGCCTCCTACTGGAAATGAGTCGGTAAAGGAAAACCCTATGATGTCTGCATCTACGTCTCCAGGTGTAAAGCACATTGATCCATTAGATGATTTATTTGGTGGTCCGTCTGTTCCAAATGTTACACAACAAGAAGATTCTTCTTTGGGAAGGACAGATCTCTTCAGTGGGAAACAGAATCATCATTATCAACAACAACAACTGCAGCAACAACAGCAACTTCTTCCACCGTTGGTCCTCCCTGCAGGTAATGTTGGGGTAGCTATTCATTGTCAATTTGTAGATGGACCAGCACTTTGGTTAGCCTTAGTCAATCACCAAAGTGTGACAATTGAGAAGCCAGTGTTACAGGTGAATTTAAATGCTTTAGGATTACTACCTGCAGCAGGCATCGCTGACTTTATACCCTCAGTTCCTTCAGGCGAGACGAGGTCAACAAGGTTGCCACTGAAAGTGTCTGATCAACATTTTGATGCAGCACGTCAAGCATTGGAGGTTGGTATTAAAGGGCAAAACTTACCGCTTTTAATTTTTCGTGTGGAAGTTCCAGCAGATAAATTATTTGCACCCCCTGAACCAATAGAAAAATCAATTTTTGTAGCCCAGTGGCAGGCGCTAGACCAATCAACAGAGGCTAAACAGCTACTTGGTGATACTGGTAGAAATATGTTAGCTGCCCCAAATCGTTGTAGTACTCTTGAACACTATCGATTTTCTCTGTTGATGCCAGAGCGTGACTCAGGGGATTTTATATCGTTACATGGTAAAGTGGTGACAACACTAGGAATGCATGGAATGGTTGAATTTATTCTCGATAAAAAGAATCCTACACAGAGTTATCTTACTGTGAAAAGTCGTCATGTTAGCTCAATCATGCCCACCATACTTAAGGTTGTTCAGGCTGCTTTTCCTAACAACATGAACTTTGCAGAAGAGAAAACAACAATAGCATCTATAGGGGTCTCAAACCGTCAAGAATCAGTATTGGATAATTTATTTGCCTGATAGTATAGTTCATCGAATGAACAAAGCGTAGAATTCACTATTTTTAGTACATAAAGGTTCACATGGTTGGTTGAGGCAGAAGTATGTTTTTTTCTTTTTTTTTCTTTCTTTCTTTGGAAGGTGAACTACTGCAGCTACCGCCGTGATTGATTTCTTTTTTTTTTCTTGTTGTTTTTCTCCATTTCAAATCCACCGTATTTTTTTTTTTTTTTCTGTGGTTTGTATTTTATTTGGGGGATAAAATGATTTATCCTTGAAGAAGTAATATGTTTTTTTTGTTCTTCTTCTTCTTGCTTTGAAAACTAATGGTTTTTTTTTTTTTATTATTGACACAGTAACCTGTGAAGGATGTTTCGTCGTATTTCCGCAGGCGCGTTAACTGTTGCTGCGGCCCGTTTCTACACGCCTTCAGAAGGCATGAAGAAGCTTTACAATAGCGACTTTGACAAGTCTCAGTTCCCGCTGAACATTGTGCCCAGTGATAGTGTTCTCTTCGCTAAGTTTCTCTACAAGGCAGCGGAGCAGACGGGTAACTTTGATGCTGTTTTGAAAGATTTCCAGGCAATTGCCAGCACCTCTGCAAAATTACCCATTTTCTGGGAGCGCACTGCCGTGGTGGAAGATATCGCCGAATTCAAGAAACTCTCAGAGCCCACGTTTTTCACGCTGGTCTGGATGCAAAATAATGGCATGCTAGATCTCATCCCTAACGTGGCTGAGGTCTATGAAGCATACGTAAACGCAAAGCAGAAACGGGCCGTTGCAAAGATCTACGTTGCCCCAGGGAAGGAAGGAGACACGGCGGAGGCCAAGAAGGTGGCACAGGAATTGCATAAGGAAGCTAAGGAGCTCACCGGCTACACGTTGACTTTCAAGACTGTCGTGGATCGTTCCATCGTTGCGGGATTTGCCGTAGAGCTTGCTGGTCAGTATGTTAACCGCGCCGAAGGACAGAAAAAGACAACGTCAAGTTCAGACGAAGGAGACTACACAAACATTCCAGCACCGAAGCACGTTAAGACGTTATGGGAGGATAATATCGAGACAGAGGTCTTAAGAAAGTACCTTGATAGTCTCTCGGAGTTTGACGAAGAAGAGGCAAAGTACGGTGTGTGATGATTTCTAGTGAAGATGAAACATTATCTTACTGCCTTGTTTGTCCTTTTTTTTTCTTTTTTTGTTTTATTCTCTTTTGTTTTGCGTGTATGAGTGTTGGAGGAAAGGCATCCCCTGCGTCTCTGCGTATATGTGTGTGTGTATGTGTGTGTGTCTGTGCGGGAGGTGGGGTGTATGCAGTGTAGGCAATTAGCAGTCATAACTAGGAAAAGATGGATTCAAATGTGTGTATGTGTATGTGTGTTTGTTTGTTTGTTTGTGATGAAGAGTTAGGAACTACAGAAGCAGCTACGGCCACGTCACTACATCCTTATTTCATCTTTCAATGTTAGAAACCTTATAAGTGGTCTTTTGATGGTCACCGGTATTATTATTATTATTATTATTATTATTATTATTATTGTTATTATATACAGAATTTTTTTTTTGTACTCTCTCAAAGAGCTTGCATATTTTTTTTAATTCATCTTCACTTTTGTTTTTCTCCTGTTCTTCGTATTTTTATTCTTTTCTTGCCCCCCACCCCTGTGTACATGAATATTTCACTTGGGTCTCTCAGAAACAGCAATTTATCTCACTAAGCAACAACAGCAAAAAAAAAAAGAAACAGCAGAAAAAAAGATGAAGGTTGTCCTTGATGGATACTCCCTCACACCCGATGCGCTCTACGCTCTAGGTTACGAAAAGAATGCCACCATTGAGCTTGCGGAGAGTGCTGTGGAGCGTATCAAAGCTGCCCGTGCGGTTATTGACAAGATTGTGGAGGAGCGTCAGACGGTGTATGGCATCAACACAGGCTTTGGCAAATTCGAGTCCACCATCATCCCGCCGGAGCAGCTGGAGGACCTGCAGCTCAATCTCATCCGCTCACACGCTGCCTGCGTTGGGGCTCCCCTCACGCCGGAGCGGGCCCGCATGATGATGGCGCTGCGGGTGAATGTTCTCAGCAAGGGCCACAGCGGCGCGCGGCTGGAGACGGTGGAGAAGTACGTGGCCGCCTTCAATGCCGGCGTCGTGCCGCACATTCCCGTTCAGGGCACCGTCGGCGCCAGCGGCGATCTTGGCCCGCTCGCCCATCTCGCTCTCGGAATGCTGGGCGAGGGTCTGCTCGCCACACGCAACCACCGCAAGTTCCGCGATGCGGCAGAAGTGCTGCGCGAACTCGGCGTCGAGCCCGTCACCCTCGCAGCAAAGGAGGGACTCGCACTCATCAACGGCACGCAGTTCATTTCAGCCCTTGGGGCAGAGGCAGTCGTGCGGGCTCGCAAGATCGCACGTCTCGCCGACGTTGCACTTGCCATGTCCCATGAGGCCCTGCAGTCGACCATCAGCACACTTAATCCAGACATCCACCGTGTGCGTCCTCATAAGGGACAGCAGCTCGTTGCCCACAGACTCCGAGCACTCTTACACAGTGAAAAGTACCCCTCTATGATTAACAACCACCACAAAAATTGTGGTCGCGTGCAGGACGCCTATTCTATCCGCTGTGCCCCACAGGTACATGGTATCTCCAATGACATGATTGAGTGGGTCTATGGTATCCTCACAACTGAACTGAACTGCGCCACAGATAACCCACTGCTATTCCCTGAGGGAGTCAAGAAGGTGGTATCGGGAGGTAACTTTCATGGTGAATACCCAGCAAAGGCACTGGACACACTTGCCATAGGTGTTCATGAATTGGGAAGCATCAGTGAGCGTCGTATTGAAAGGCTGAATAACCCGTCACTGAGTCGCCTTCCCGCATTTCTCGTGGAAAATGGTGGTCTTAACTCTGGTTTCATGATCGCACACTGTACCGCTGCTGCCCTCGTCTCGGAGAACAAGGTATACTGTCACCCTGCCTCTATTGACAGCATCTCCACCTCCGCTGCTCAAGAAGACCACGTCAGCATGGGTGGTTTCTCCGCACGCAAGGCCCTCAAGGTTGTGGAAAACGTTGAACACGTTATCGCCATTGAACTATTGTGTGCTTGCCAAGGAATTGATCTCATGCGACCACTGAAGACAACAGAGCCAATGGAAAAGGTCTGGAGCCTTATTCGCACGGTGAGCCCTCCGTGGGAAAAGGATCGTGTCGTTCATCGCGATATTGATAACATAACAGATCTGTTGCGCAGTGGGAAGGTATGGGAGGCCGTTCGGGACTATATCCCGAAAGAAGCGCGGTTTCGAGGTGTGACTATTCCACCAAAACCCTTTGAGATCAGGGGCAAGCTTTAACATCATAACTTGCCTTTATCATTAGAATGGGAAATACATTTAGGGATAAATATTACAAAATCACAGAAAAACGAAAAAAAAAAAAACGTCTTTTTTCCCCCATAGGTATTTTTTTTTTCTTTTTGTCTTTGTTTTACTTTTGTGTTTTCGCTCTTTTTATTTATTTATTATTATCGTAATTTACTTTCTTATATCATGGGTATTATAAAGGTATTATGTTGGTGCCAGAAAGGTAATATCGAGGTGTTACAACCTTGTTAGGGTTCTGGTATATTTATTTATTTATTTATTTTCCATTCATTCATTTATTTTTCTTATATAACATTTTTTTTTACCTATATTTCTCAAAGCAACCCTCAATATATTTCCTCACTTAACTTTGCCTCTTCACGGAAACAAAGTACAAAAACGTGGTGAAAGAATCAAAAAAAGATAACAAAGAAAACGAAAACGGAGTTGGTGAATATGAAGGAGGAGAAAAATCGATGAAAGATCTTTTTTATTTGTATTTTTATTTTATTTATTTTATTTTTTTGAATGCTCATTGAAAAATAAATGAATTGAAAGGGCAGACCAAATTCAAGTGGACCAAGGAAGAAAAAAAAAAAAAAGAGGAAAAAAAGTGACGAGAGCTGCAGGAGCAACTTGCATATATATATACCATCTATATATCTGCTTCATGTTGTATTTTGTTATTGGTGTTGTTATAATTCCTTTTTTTTTTTCTTATTCTGTCCCTATACCAAAGCAACGCTTTAGGAATCTACAGACATTTTCTATTATTTGAGATAAAAAGAATAATACATTATAAAAATACACACGCAAAAAAAAAAAAAGAACTGATTGCGAATGCGCTCGCTATACCCATTAGCCAGACGCTCTGCGACAACCTATATGCTGCATGGTGTGAAGGTGTCCGAGCCGTATGATTATCTTGAAGATCCTGAAAACCCAGAAACAAAAAACTTTGTGCAATCACAAAATAAATTTTTTGAAGAGTATCTCTCAGGCAACACCGTACTGCGTGAGAAACTTTTTAATAATATCTCTGCGATGCAGGATTATCCCCGTACCTCGAACCCTCTGTATCGAAATGAAAAATATTACTATTTTCATAACACTGGTTTACAAAATCAGAGTGTCTTAATGTGTGCACAAAGTCTGACAGACACGAATCCCGCTGTATTTTTGGATCCTAATACGATGAGCAGTGATGGCACTACATCATTACAAACCTACGGATGGAGCGAAGATGAGTCACTTTTTGCCTATGCAGTGAGTGAAAAGGGAAGTGACTGGAAACGTATTCATGTAAGGCGTGCAGACACAGCGAAAGATACTGCAGACACTATTGAATGGGCAAAATTTACAGGTATTTCGTGGTGGCGAAGTACAGGTTTCTTTTACACTCGTTATCCTGCGCTTCAGGAGAACGCAGACAAGGGTGCTGAAACAGTCACAGCACAAGATCCATTTATTTGTTTTCATCGTTTAGGTCAACCACAAGAGGAAGATGTGGTGATTCTTTCTGTACCAAAACACCCTCAGTGGAGTCTTTCAGCAGAAGTATCAGACTGTCAGTCATTCCTTATCGTTTCTTTGTTTGATGGGTGTGAACCACATAACTTGGTATGGGTTGCTGAATTACCAAAAAATGAGAAAGAACTTGGTTCTGCCCCTCTAAAGTTTAATGAGTTGGTGAAGGAATTTGTTGGTGAATACTCTTACTTGGGAAACAATGATGACAAATTTTACTTCATGACTACTCATGATTCACCACGAAAGAAAATCATCTCTTTTGACGTTCGTACTGGTGAGAAAGAGGTTATTGTAGAAGAAAAAACCTCACTTTTAAGTCATGCTGCTCTCGCAAGAAACACACTTCTTCTTGTCTATCTTGAAGATGTTAAAGACGTACTTTACTACCGTCATCTAAATGATACTTCAATGCATATGATACCACTACCTATTGGAACCATTAGTTCCATATGTTGTTATCGAAAAAAGAATTTTGTTTCTTTTAAGATCAGTTCATTCCTCCTACCAGGACGAACTTATACCATGGATATTGTCGACCCATTGGGAACACTTCAAGTTTTTAAAGATGACACAATTGAAGGTTTGGTCGTTGATGATTATGTTACAGAGCAAAAGTTCTATAATTCCACTGATGGAACTCGAATACCAATGTTTATTGTTCATCGAAAAGGAACTGTTACACCTGATTCCCCATTGTTATTGTACGGCTATGGTGGTTTCGATATTTCCCTAACACCTTCATTCAGCGCTTCACGTATAGTCTTTCTTCGCAACCTTGGTGGTGTACTCGCAGTGCCAAATATTCGTGGTGGTGGTGAGTACGGTGAAGAATGGCACAATGGTGGTCGTCGAAAGAATAAGCAGAATTGCTTCACTGATTTTATTGAAGCTGCAAAATATTTGCATAAAAACGGGTATGGTTCCCCCAAGACGACTGCTATTATGGGAGGCTCTAATGGTGGATTACTGGTTGCAGCAGTGGCGAATCAAGCACCAGAACTCTTTCGTTGTGTCGTTTGCCAAGTGGGAGTTTTGGATATGTTTAAATTTCATAAATTTACTATTGGACACGCATGGAAATCGGATTATGGTGACCCAGATAAAGAAGAAGATTTTAACGTTCTTCAGCATTATAGTCCATTGCATAATATTCGATCAGGTCTCAAGTATCCTGCTATTCTTGTTGTAACTGGAGATCATGATGATCGCGTCGTTCCACTACATTCACTAAAGTATATCGCTACCCTGCAGCACGAAAACCCAGAAGAAGGGGGACCTTTCTTGGCTAGAATTGAAGTGGCTGCAGGTCATGGTGCAGGTAAGCCTACAAGTAAGATAATGCGAGAATCAGCTGATATCTATACCTTTATATCCATGAATGTTAATGCCGTGTGGAAGGATTGAGTCCCAATACTGTTGTCGTTGTTGTTGTTGTTGTGGAGTGTAGTAGTTTATTTGACGTTATGTGAGATATTGTGTCATGAACACACTTGATTTACAAATGTGAGGAAGAAAAAGAAAGGAAGAAATAAAGAAACTCGTAGTTCATTATTTCTTTTTTTTATGCATGTTTATTTCATTCTTTTCTCGCCTCTTTTTTTTTTCTTTGTTTAATTATTCTTATTATTAATACTATTTTCCGTTCTTGTTTTTTTTTTTTTTTTCCTTCTTTACACTTCTCTCTAGTACATTTATTATTAACATCGTTTAGAGGATGACAAGGGAGCATTCGGTTACACTAAGTGAAGTTCTTCTTACAGACGTATGGAATGAGCCTCTTCATGCGGTGAGTCGAACCCGTGACCGTTTGGGTCACATTGATTTTGCTATGGTGATTCCACCCCTTCGGGCGTTTATTTATTATATGATTTGCCCATTTTTGTGTTACCCTATAGCGTTTTTACACTTGTGGGGTTTTTATCGTTGTATGCGGACACTTGTTTTTCCAAAGTCGTACAGGCGGGATCGTTACGCTTCACACGTGATATATGGCGTGCAGAAACGTGTGTATGATGCGAAGAAAAAGAAACTTCATGAGAGTGCTGTAAATGATGCTGAAGAGATCCAACATGCTCTTCAGGTCACGGATGGGGCAAGAAACCACTTTGTGGACGATCCAAATGCAATGGGAGTCGCTTATTTTGTTGTGGAACAAAAGATCATGAAATCAGAGGCCATTTTTACTGGTGAGAATTGGGCCTGGGCGTTTATTTCGGATAGTTGTAGATTTCTTACTCCAGCAATTTTGGCCTATCTGTTTGTTCCCTCCTGTAGGCGGTTATCAGTAGATCTGCGTCTCTGGTACCAGGGACGTATACGTTGGCGACAACTGCGTCATCCTGTGCTGAACTTCTTCAAATCGTACCGTGAGTACAATAGTGCTATAAGGCGTATTAACGTTACGAAACCACCAGAGAAAGGAAAGAAACCATGGACAAGAAGATTATAGACATATTTGCTATGAGTGAGTTTCTCATTCATTATTATTATTATTATTATTTTATTTTTTTTTTTTTTTTTTTGTATGTTCATATAATAAAAAAAAAGATGCGAAGTATTTTTTTTTTCTTTAATTCTTTCTTTTCTGTCGGTATTTTTTCTGTGGAAAATTGAAAGGGGATAAGAAAGAGTGGCGTGAAATTACAGTTATGACTGACAAAAGAGATGTTTGTCCAAATATTTTTTGTATATTTCTATCGGGAAATGTAAATAAAAAAACATATTAATTGATAAGTATCTATCCCCTGTGTGTGTATATGAAAAAGAGTAACGTGCAAACACACGCATGAACAAAAAAAAAAAAAATGTCGTCCCTTGTTGTTGTTTTTTTTAGTTTTGTACTGTTTCTTCCTCTTTTTTCTTTTTTTTTTTTTTATTATTTTCACTTCCTTCCTTTGAACTTTGTGGCTGTTTCAAGAAGAGCTTTTCGGGGTGGGGAAGAGCATAGTAGTTCTGGGGAATGGACGCTGCCGAAGAGTTTGTGGTATCGCTGCTGGCCGAACGCGAAGAAGAAGAAAGGCGGCGCGAAGCTCGCAGACGTCGTCGTGTTGATTTCATCACCGCGGGTAATGAAGAGCGCGCGCGCCGCAGCAAAGAGGAACTCGGCCAAGTGCTTAAGCGTAGTGCTGGCATGATGTCTTGCGTTGAACGGGAGTTCCGGGATTCTTTGGGTGAGATGTGTAACTGGTGGGATCTAATCAGTGAACATATTCTAGAAGAAAGGCGAGAGTGTAAAAAAGCTGTAGAACTACAAAAAAGGCTGAATTCTATGTACCTTTCAACCACCTTACGGCGTGAGTTCACTGAACAGTCATCTGTAGTAGAGAACGATGAGCGTCGATTTCTTGAATTGGTAGAGTTTTGTGAACAGGAAGAAAACCGTACAAAGGAAGAAGTGATTGAAGAGGTTATTAATAGTATTCTCATATCCATGGACAATTCCATAGATTTTATGGAGGAACATGCGCTTGTTGAGTATGGCCGAAATAACATACTTGCAGATTTGGCACTAAATAGTTTTATTCGTAAACACAATCATCCTTCCTTAACAGAGAATGATATAGCTAATATTGGGTTCTTATATATATTTGGATGTCATCCATTTCATATAACTGGTGATGCATTTCTTTTCCTTATTCACACAATGTACGATAAAATGAACCCTGAACCTTCTGAAATTACTCGGTATGACGTCTGTCGTCAACCTGTATTTTTAATTGATGGTCCAAAACTCAGTGGTAAGACTGTTGTCTCTCGAGAGGTTTCTACCAAACTCTCACTCCTACATCTCACAGATCGTGACTTGGTAAAACATGCTATTGAAGCTTACCGAAACGAACGTGATGGTTTACCGACACTCCGTACGGTGGAGGACAGTGAGGCACTTCCCGTCCTGACGGCGTATGAAGAGCGCAACGAGGCGGACGAGGAGGTGGCGTACCACAGCGACGCTCATGTTGTGCAGGTGGTGGAGTCCTTTGTGCGTCTGAGCCCGTGGGCGGAGGCGGGCGCTGCGATTGAGGCGGCACTTCTGCGAGGGGAGGCGGTGGATCCTGCCGTTGTGGTGCGACTGGCGCGACTGCAGATGTCGACGCCCCCGGCCGTTGGCGGCGGTCTTCTCTTCGACGGCGTCGTGGCGGGGCTCGCGGGGCTGCAGGCGCTCGAGCGGGTCATTCCCCCGCGGGTCCACCCCCACGAGGGGGCTCTCAAGTCGTGGCCCCCCGCGCCCCCGTCCAGCGGCGACTCCCACAACGGCCCGGCGGGGCCTCTTCTCGTGCGGCGGCTGGAGCCACGGGCGGAGCGGCCTCCCACTCGCTCCGACGGTAAAGTGCGGCCACCAAAGAAGGGCGTGGATCTCAGTGCACTGCCGCCCCCAGTGCTACCAGAGGTGGAGCGACCCGAACTCACCGTAGAGGAGACGCAGGCTTTGGTGCGATGGGAACAGCACCTACGCACCCATACCCACTCCCTCTTCTCAGCAATTGTTTACATCCACTGTGGGGTACGAGAAATTTTTGGTCGCTTTGCAGGACTACGTATTGACAAGGAAACATTGGAGCAATATCACATGGTTTTTAATCCTCCACCACCAGACCGGGTGCCGTATGTGGTAAACCTCGATCGTACGCGAACCTCCACCGCACAACTCCATCGCGTTGTTCTTAGTCAGCAAAAGACTTGGGAACAAATCCAGCGTTGGCTTTTACGTGAAAATGGGGAAAATGAAAATGTACATGAAGTAAATGGTGAACAACAACTAGAAAATATTGTAGTTGATGTTAAACAAATCTTAGAAAATGCACAAAAGGAGTTTGTCTTGGGTCTTCAACTTCATGATGCAGCACTTGCAGCGAAAGAGCGGCAACAATACATAGAAAGAACTATTACAGAACAAGAGGAAAATCGTGAAAATGAACGTAAACGTCTTATTGCTTTATATAATGAGTGTGGGGCTCCTATTCCACCAGAGTTAGAGGCTCGACCACCGTTATCACCATATTACAGTATCCCCAATGACTTACCAGGGGCATTTATAAATGGACTTTTAACTTTCACGACGAATTACGAAAAAGAATATGCCTGGTTTGGAACTGAATTAGAATCATTGGTAAGTGTTTTATTAGAACATCGTATTTTGGCGATGAATGTTTTTTACCGTTTTTGGAATCAACCGGATGAAAAACAGTTGAAATTGGATTCTTTTACTTCAAATTACAATCAACTTCCTGTTGCACTCCTTGGACAGGTGCCATGCAAGGAGGAATTACACCTTCTGGTAGATCACCTAAAGGATGAACTTTTTCGAATAGTAGAGTGTACTAGGAATGAGGCAAATGCGAAGATTGAGAATATTACAAAAAGAGAATCATTTTTAGGTCCTTGGAGTATGTCGGTGTGTAATATTGGTGTTGCAACCGCACAATTAGAAGTGGAACGATTTTTGACGACGCTGAATTTGACTGCAATGTACTTTGGTGGAGTTGTATCTGAGCCCTGTATTTTTGAAGATCTGGAGTCTGAACTTATCATCATGCGTTCAACTCCGGAGAACGTTCAGGAACAGACAAAAGGGAAAGAGAAAAAGACGCAGGGTACCAAAAAAGGTCCAAAAGTGGAAGAAGTTCTGGAAAAAACAATTGAAGATATGTTTGTAGAAAGCATCACAAAACTTGTCACCACCGTGACAAATTATGTTGAAAAAATTTTGGGTGTTACCACAGCTGCAACAAAGATACGTGAAAATGGTAAAGCTTCTATTACTTTCACAGATGATGGAAAACCGACACTTATCCTTAGTAAATGTTTACCATTTGCTGAGACTGAGTTAGAGAAAGTACAAGAGCGCATTTCAATCATACAACAATTTTTTATTCGGCTTCTTAGAGAAGGTGAAGTTTATTGTGCACGAATGAAAGATGACATGTTATCACATACACGTGAAAAACAAATGAACCAAGCTTCCGCTGTAAACACAGCAATTTATGTGATTCGCAATGCCATTGAAGAAGAAAGGTCAATACCTGATATACATTTGGGTCGGGACACGTTTTACATTGATCCTGTGGTAACAGGACGCGCTCCAACTCACCCTGAGCTTGTAACAGAAGACCTTCAGACACTAGTACCATCTGCAGAGCCAAAGATTCATCCCACCCTCACAGTCGCTCGATTAATAGATATGATTCATGCATTTCAAAGTGTGGCACCTGATTATGCGCTGAGTCATACAGAGTACCTTCAAATTGTGCGACCAACAGACTATTCAGGTGCCGCTACTAAAAATGAACGTCTTAAAACTCAGGAAGAAGTATTTGCATCTTTTGACCCATTAAACTCTGGTGTAATTGATTGGCGAGAGTTTGTTATTCATTTATTATTGTGGTGCGCGCCAGTTCCTGAGGTGACGAGTACTGCAAAAAAAGAGACGACGACAACGGTGGCGAAGAAGAAGGAAGAAGAAGAAGAACAAGAAAAGGAGGAGGAGGAGGAGGAGGACACAAGAAAGGTGGAGAACTATTACATCCCTGAGTGTTCCGTAACGCATTTACTTGAAACGAGGGCAGATCTCGGTCTTGAGGCAATTACTCGAGATGTTTTCTTTGATATTCCATTTTTCTTTGATAAATATCTCTCCGATGAACGATTAGAATCGTATGTGCGTCTCTTGTGGATGACCTTCGCTGGTGATAAGGAATTTCTTGACCCTATGCCGCTCTTGGCCATGCTTTGTATTGATCGACAGCCAATTCGAGGTGCACAAAAAGCGTTTTATGTACTCTCAACTGCTCAGAGCGGTACCTTGACGATAGAAGATATAGATCGCGCTTTCCATGTTCAAGTTAATAACGCGCGCAATATGTGTCTTCCAGACGTTTTTTCTAAAGAGAATATCGCCACACTGTATGATGGTGCGCCATCACTCTCCTTCCAGTCTGTTTGCGAGAGGGCAATGGGGCGTAACATGCTCAACAGCACAGAAGCCTTTCGCCGCAAGTCTTTCACAACTGATGCACCTCATGTAGAGTGAGTCAATGTATTGAATCAAAACACAAACACGAGAAAAAAAAAAGAAAAGAAGAAAGAAAATATACAAGAGGAGGCTTCCTACCTGAAGAAGAAAGCACGTAAGCAAGAAGGGGACCACCTCAGACGGAAATCCCTTGTTTTTTTTTTTTTTTTTTCTGGCCTTTTCTGTGTAAATGTGTGCAAGGAATAGTACATTTTTATCGTAATTGTTAACTTTTTATTTTTTTTTTTGTATTCTTGTTTTTTAATTATTACGCTTTCTCCTTTTTTTTCTTTTTTTTTTTTAGTTCTTCTTCTTGCCACACTCACAACAGTATCCTGGGTATTGACTAGATCTTCTAATGTCTAAGGAATTCAAAAATGCTCCTATTGACGGCAGTGAAGAGAGAAAAAAAGTGCTACGGCGTTTCGTTGGTGGAACTGTAGGTGGTATGTTTCAGGCCCTCTGCAGTCATCCATTTGATACTGTAAAATCACGCGTTCAGAGCGGTATGTTCCCAGGTGTTGTTTCTTGTTTTCATTCCACGTGGCGATCAGAAGGAATTCGTGGTTTCTACCGTGGACTAACACCTCCCTTGATGATGGGAGGTATATATAACTCCATTCTATTTAGTGTTAACCAATTTATGATGAATTTGTTGACCCCTGAGGGGGAAGATGATAAGGCAAAAGCTCCGTTTTGGCGGGCAGCCCTCTCTGGAGAGTTAACAGCTCCTATTTATGTTCTCTGTATCACACCTATGGAGAAAGTGAAGGTGAAGCTACAACTACGAAAAGGTAATACAGATAATACAAAATTTACAGGACCTATAAGCTGTATTCGTTATATTGTAAAGACAGAAGGGTTGAGTGGAATGTTTTCAGGCTATGTCCCAACTCTTTTTTCACGCCTCGCTGGTCTCCCTTTTTACTTTGGGGGATACCAGATGGCCTATCATAGCTTGAGCGACTCTTCAATAGGAACAACTACTGTAGGGAAAAACCTTGCAATACCTATGATGAGTGGATGTGTGGCAGGAACTCTATTCTGGTTGAGTAATTACCCTTTTGATTATGTAAAAACGCAAGTGCAAGCGGGTGAGGGTCAGCAGCGCATGTCACAAGTATTTATTACCACGTACAAAAAAGGTGGAATACGGGCTTTCTATAAAGGCCTTTCGGCATGTCTCCTGCGTGCAATTCCTGCAAACGCATCCGTTTGGCTAGGCATTGAATGGGTGACAAGAGTTATGGAAAGGAACGGATTTTGAAGTGAATTGTCGTTTTTTTTTTTTTGTTTGTTTGTTTCGTTTTGTACACCTATGCGTAAATTAATGCTCTAGTCTAGCCTTGCGCATCTTTAGTGCAATTATAAGAAATTATTTTTTCATATTGTACCATTGCATGTTTTATCGTAATGGGAAAGATTTTGGATGCCTACCTAACATATCCCTCTCTGATCCACACAGTAATTCGGTTAAAGAAAGAGACTTGACTAGGATCTTCTAAAAAAAAAAAAAAAAAAGAATGTGCTCTTAGGCATAGTTTATATTAAATATATATATGATGAGTCGATGGACAAAATATTGCACTCCACTGTATTATTACGTTTATTACTATGGTTCTTATTGAATTTTGTGTATTTCTTTTATCCATTCCCATTCACACGCACATGAGGTCTGAAGAGGAAGGATAACTCTAGAATGTGGGACCTATGAATGTCTTTTTTTTTTTTTTGTTTTGTTGTTGTTGTTCTTCTTCTTGTTTGCGTTGTAAATAAAACAAGTTATTTTCTTAATAAAGAGAATAGGAAAGGAAAAATAATAAGTGTTTTATTTTACTTTCCTATTATTATTTTTTTTTTGTTTTGTTCTGATGCATTTTTTCCAATATTTTCTTATTTCTTGTTTTCTTTGCACATATTACTTTCTTTTCCATTTGTGTAATAATAGGTGAAAGAATAAATGAAATACGTTATGGACGAAATAAGGGAGAAAGAAGTAAGAAAATGAATGGGTTTCCCATATTTTTTTTTTTTTTGATTTTTCCTATTCTCGGTCCATATGTTCAAAAAAAAAAAGAAAAAGAAAAAGAAAGAGGTGGTTATGTGTTATATATATATATATATATGTTTATGTATGTATGTGATATTATTATTATTATTATTATTTTCTCGTTTTCTCTTTATTTTCCATCTCCACAGTTGTTAGCAATGTTGTGGGTTGACAAGTACCGCCCCAAGTCCCTGGAGGAGGTGGATCTCTACCCGGAGCTCACACAGGTGCTGAGGCGCCTCGCCGAGTCGCAGGACTTCCCACATTTACTCCTCTACGGCCCGTCAGGAACAGGGAAGAAGACACGCGCGATGGCGGTCTTGCAACACATTTACGGTCCTTCCGTTTACTCATTACGACTGGAGCACAAATCTGTGCAGGTAACAGACAGCAAAGTGGTGGATATAGCTACATTAAGTTCTCCAAATCATATTGATATTAACCCCTCTGATGCTGGTAACTATGATCGTGTCATTGTAATGCAAATGATTCGAGAAATTGCTCAAACAGTTGCCTTACAGTCTAATTCTTCTAATGGTGTTAAATTCAAGGTTGTGCTTCTGAATGAGGTGGATAAAATGGGACGAGCTGCTCAACATGCTCTTCGTAGGACTATGGAAAAGTACATGTCAACATGTAGATTGATACTTATATGCAATTCAACTTCACGTCTTATTGCACCTCTACGTTCAAGATGTTTGGCCGTCCGTGTCCCATCGCATTCTAGGGAAAATTTCACTAAAGTAATACATGCAGTGTGTGAAAGGGAAAGTCAACCAATACCCTCACCTGCTTTTATGGCTACTCTATCACAACGAGCAGAGGGCAATCTGCGCCGTGCATTGTTAATGGTAGAAGCAGCTGTTATGAATAAAGTGGAATTGGCAGGAAATGGTATTGACATTCCACAACCCGATTGGCAGGTATTTCTTGATGAAATCGCCAATGACATTATTACGGAACAAACACCGAAAAAATTACATGGGGTTCGTGGCAAGTTCTACGACCTTCTTGGTCAATGTATTTCCAGTGAAGTCATTCTGAGGGGAATTGTGGAAAAGTTAATGTCCACTGTTGAACCGGAGCTTCGCAAACCCATCATTGTCCTCGCGGCACAGTATGATCATAACATGAAACTTGGTACAAAATCTATTCTTCATCTGGAAGCTTTTGCTGCAGGTGTCATGCAACTTATGAAGAAGGCATAACTAAAGCCTATTTCTTCCCCATAGACACGCTATGAGGTCAGATAAGTGTCTCCTCAAAATTCAGCGTTAATCACACTCTTACATTTTATTTGAAGAATTTTTCTTTTTTTTTTCATTATCTGTTTCTGTGTGTTTGTTTGAGTTTATGGTGGCAGTGGTAATGATGATGAAACCATCGCACAGGTCAAGATATCTTTTTATAGCATGGCGAAAAAAAAACAACAAAAAACGAGAAAATCTTTCTATTGTTCTTGTTACTAATACTACTACTTCTACTAGTACTAGTAGTTGTTTTCTTTTTTTTTTTATTATTGATTTTTTCTTTGTTCATCTTTCTTGTTTTTTTTTTTTCCTTTGGTGGTGTTATCATGTCTACCAAAAACAACACAAAATACTATTATATATATATATATACATATATCCCGTAGGTTTATAGGGGTGGAAAAAGTGTGGCTTTTGAAGGATGTTTTGCCTCACTCGCCCCGTATTAATTGCCCATTGGTTTTGTGGACATAAGTTCCGACATCGTTTCATGCGAGACAAGAGATTTCATCCATCAATGCAGGCATCTCATGACGCACGAAATCGCTTTAGCAGAAGAAGACATTTTAAGACGAATAGATGGAATTATCAACAGGCGTATCGCGACATGCCCTAAATGGGGACTGTTATACTTCTTTATTGCTGAGAACTGAAGGATGGTGTTTATGGCGCGATCTATGGGGAGAAAACAAGTATGGAAACCTCTGTAATAATAAACAAAAGGGATATATTTATAAATGATTTGAATTTACTTGGTATTGAGGTGTTTTCTTTTTTTTATTTGTTTGGATTTTTTTTTTCTTTTCTTTGTTTTTTTGGTTTGGATTTTACCGCCTGGTGTAGGAGAACTATTTCTCCATTCATACGCATTAGTGCATAAGTCCCCCTTATTTTTCTGGACAGTTAGATGAAAGTAGAGGCGTCATGCGAAAAACCAAAAGCGGATCTACGCGATGAATTAGACGCGAGTGTTGAGTTTGGATCTGGATATATTTCTCTCTTTGGTCCCCCCAGTAGTGGTAAGACAACACTGCTCTTGCAGTATTTGACAGCACGTGAGCAACATGTTCATAGAATGAAGAGATCCTTTCATCTGGAATATGTGAGTGCCAAAGCTCTGGACGGAGATCCACTACAACGACTCACTTGGCGATTACAACCACAGGCACGTCGTCGTCGTACGGAGTGTTCTCTCTTACAATTTGGTTGTTTGATTAGAAAGTGGTTGGACGCGGCAGCGGAAGGAAGTGAGATGCACTTCGTTGTGGATGACGCCGATGTGTTGGAGGAGGACACGATAGACATTAATCACTGGCTCTCCGCGTGTCTCGCCGTGGGGGTGCAGGAACGGCAGTGCCACCGAAATAAAGTCTGTTTGTGGGTCGTTTCGCAGATGCCATTACGCATTTCCAATTGTTTTCGCTTTCACTTTGTATGTAAACCCGACGCTGCAGTTGTGCGTGCCTGGTTGGACCATCTCTTCAACGCAAACCGCGCGCTCCTCCCGGCGGATCCCCCAGCGGACACGCCGCACCTCACACTCGAGCAGACCCACACGGCGGTGGTGGATGCCGTCGGGTACTACACCGCACATCTCCCCATGCGGGCCAGCGTGGTCGCGCAGGATCTGCGGCAGTTGCTGCAGCGCGTCTGCCACGTCCTCCCGCTGCTCGCACCGCACTACACAGCCGCAAGTGGACGGCCAAACGCCATGCATCACTCCGCCGCGTGGGGAAAACAGCGGCAGTTGGCCGCAGCAGGAGAAGGGGATGATCCACTCGTGACATCACTGAAGCGGATTGGATACTCCGCCATGTTGTGGGCTCTCAGTGCATTTTACTGTGGCGCCGTGCATAAGTCAAAACACGCGTTTGTCTTTGGCGATCAAGAATTGCAGTCCCGCACAAATTCGAGTGGGGCAAATGTCTCATCACACAAAGCCGCTGTCTTGTCATCTTCGGCACACGTCGTGTACGTACCGCGGCTCATGCGGGTTTATCAAGCACTTCTTAAGATTTGTGTACATCATGTGGATCCACTAGAGTTCGGGCCAACCGCTATGGCAGTGCAGCACCACCAAACGTTAGTTTCGTGGGGTCTTTTGGTCCATTCTTCTGCAAGTTCAAAGGCTTATCATTGTCATATTCCCGTCACATCTGCTCTTGGGCTTTCCAAGTTACTTTCTCTTAACCTTTATGATCTCATTCCATCATAAATAATGATTGCTATTTTTTTTTTTATTATTATTTTCATTTTTGTGTTTTTTTTTTTTTTTTGGAAGTTGTTTGTTTTTGCTGGTGTTAATAGTAGTGGTATTTAGTGATTCTTACTGCAAAGAAAATTGTTCTTGTTGTCGTTTTTTTTTTT